AATGAGTAAGTGTGTGCAAACTTTAGACTGGTATTGTGTGTCTGCCAACATGAATAGATATGTAGTTCTGTTTAACCGAGGAACTCAGTAGTAAAAACTCCACGTGGGTGATTGGATGACCTCAATAGACTACTCACACCATCATCAGTGTGTTCTTGAACCCACGACTGTCTGGATAGAGCCCTGCGTCTGTTGCCACAAACCTCCACCCTCGTTTCCATCCTTTCAACTTTCTGCACTTTCCACTCAATTTCTCTTTTGTAGATGTAACCACAAAAGATTCATTTTTACCCACCTGTACTGTTTTTTATGGTATCAAGTTAAATAGAGTCACTTGTACCCAACAAACCCCCTTTTATATTTCCATTAGTGTTGTGTGTCTCTTGAGGGTTATTCAACATCCAGTAAGCCGCAGATACAAACCAAAGACTGGCTGTAGGTGTGGAGAGAAACTAAAGGCAGGCTGTGAGAGGGCTGTGCTGGTAGCAGAGCGTGACTGAGATATTGGAAGAGGACTACAGGGAATGATAGATAGATGAGGGCAGAGAGGGGGGAGGAGGACAGGAGAGAAGAAGTGCAGCAGGAGGTTTGGAAGGGGAGTGCTCTGCAGGAACGTTTCAGTATTCTTATGGTAATCCAGCCTTGGATGAGCCTCAGAAGCAGCCAAGCAAACAATGAGAGTGGAGCCAGGAAGTCTGCTCTCCCTGCTGGCCGGCGTGACTTGAGAGGCAGGAGCTGCCTGTAAGGAGGGGCCCCCAGGAGGGGCCAGGGAAACGCATGCCAGCACACATATCCACATACCACATTTACTCAATCTACAAGTTAGAGAGCATGGTTGGCGTTGGTGAAAAGCATGTTTGTGTTGTGATTAGAGGGACTTGTTTTTGTGAAGACTGTATAGAAATGGATGCAAACAGTTTTGGTGATGTACATTTGTAATGATTTAATAGATTATCATTACATGTGCTTTATAAATCAATACCATATTGGTTATCTGCTGATATTAGAGGGTTTTTTTCACTATAGGTGGTCGATATTGGTTACTGAATCGTGTATACTCATTTAACCTGTTTTTTTTTTTCCAAATTAGATTACTTTTACCATCATCAAATGCTCCTTTAATAATGTTTAAAAAGTTATAAACATAATATAAAGTTGATTTTTATATTATATAAATAATACAGTATAGAAAAATATAGATAATATAGATAATATTCCTATATTATAATAATAATATAGAAAATATTAAGTGAATCGTGCATGTTCTGATTTTTGTTCTTTTTCTGTTCATTTGCTCTGTGGTTTTTGTTTGCATGTCAAGGCTTTATTTTTGAATGCATTTCTTCAGTGTGCACCGATCAAGACCACAGACTTAACAGGATCTCGGGTGATCCCTTTAGTTGTTCATCTCTTCTCACCTGCCTTTCCAAAACCTTTCTGAAAGGGGATGTTTGGCCTCTTGTGGTTGTCCTTTTATTCTATGAAATGGACTTAGCTGGAAAAACAAAGATATTCAAAGGCCCTGTCAAAGCAGCATTATCTTTAGGGAAACGAGTGACACGGCTCGCTCTGTTCTTCCTCAGATTTCTGTCTCCACAGTGACTTCCCTTTCAAGCATCATATGATTGACGACTGTGGGAATGCCTTCCCAGAAACCACACGCTATGCCTCAGTGATTTGCTATAAGGTGTGGTCATTCTATATGGTGGCTACAGTTGCTTTACCTTTACCCCCATCTCTCTGGTCTTTCATCCATTCAAAGGAAATTAATGAGGAGCTTTCCTCTGAAAGAATGCTCAGTGAGACTATAAATTATGCGATTTAGCTGCACAACTCCATGGCATCTTTGCCTTCTGCCTTCTGATTTAATAGTGGTCCATCTGCTGCAGAGATTTGCTTTGTGCCAGTTTTCAAACTCTGTTATTGTACTACCACATTGCTAGTAATTGTAGTAGTTCTTAACTAGAGCGAATCGATTTTCCAAAACATGCCTTTGTTAATTGGATCGGATATCATTTCAATAATTTCTAAAACATGAGATTTTTTTTATTTTACTCTATGCTATATTATTTGTGTGTTGCGTGTGCAACTGTGATGGGAATGATCTTGCTGACAAATGTAAGTGTCAGAGGCCTCAAGATATGATTGTTCTTTATCCTTCAGCACACTTCCTGTCCTCAGGCCCTGAAGCTTTCCACACTGACTAGTCCTGGCATTCTTTTACCAGTCTTTGGCCTTTATCTTTCCTATGGTGAAACTACAAAGGGATTCTGGTTGTTTACAGTCTTTAGAGGTACACTATGTAACTTTTGGCCACCTAGCCAAATGCATGCATTTTGCGGAAGAACATTATTTTGGTTGTGCTTCGGCTTTGCGTAACTGTGCGGATGAATATGGTTATCCTACTACTCATAATACATTCACTACTAAGCTAAAGAGATTTAAACAGTTTAGATTTAAAGGATCTTTAGCTAACTAGCTGAAGATGTTATAGTAGCAACATCCATTAATAGACACTAATTCCTTGAAAATAAATCCCAGCACATCGACATCCTTTACGCTTGTATGTAAGCATAAAGCTCAACTTCTGTAGGAATGGATTGTAAATGCTTGCTCTGCTCCGCAACAGACTGTTGACAGGAGAGGCTTTCGGACATCACATTTCTGTTATGAACTCTCCTATTCATTGATATGGGCAGTGAAAAACAAAGACTTTGGTTAACTTTTGAAAGTGCGATCACACTGCAATATTCAAATCTGTGTTTACGAGCAGCTGCCATGTAAATGTACAGTATGAAGCAGCTTCAAAAACAGTGTTTTCAACCACACATTAACGTTAGTTTGGGTATAAACACAGTATTTATCAAAATAAAGGTAAATCTTTTTTTTAAAGTATTTTGACACTTATATGTATTGTATTTTTTTATCGTTACGCAAGGAGTTGGTATGTCTAAAAATCAGTTATTGAATCATTCATTTAAAAGATTTATTCACAAATGCTGATTTATCCAATAATGGCATCCTTCAAATCATTTTTTTATTTAATTCAAATTAATATATCTTTTAAGACTAAAGCAATGACCATTTTGCTGTTGCTTGGCCCTCTGTAATTGTATTGCTGTCAATCACAGACCTGAAAGCATTATGTGGAAAAACTCCAATATGGAGAAAAATTTGTGTGTCTACACAACACAAACTGAATAGGCAGGTTTTAATTCCTCAAAAATATTTAGATATTTAATTGTCAATTTAGTATTTTTTTATTACAAAAGTTGTTACTTTTTAAACTATTATTTAAAAGTTTATAAATATCTTTTTACAATGGTTTAGGCTCTCTATAGTGGCTTAAAGGGCCCGGATGGCTCCCCTCTGGTATAATAATGATAGCGATGATGATGAGGATAATAATAATAATAATTATTATTATTATATTGATAAAGAATTGCTTTTATTAAACATTCACAATTTTAACAGAGTGGGTTAAGTTGTTCACCTGTTGCATCTCTCCATCCCCTGCCCTGTTATCCTGTGTGGTGAGAGATCCAGTCTTTCTTAAGGGATCCCAGTGAGCCAAAGGAGCCCCGCCTTTTGTTTCCCCATTACCCAGGAGTCAGGGAAGTGTGAAAAGTAGGGCGCAGGTCGGGGCTTTTTGTCCCCCTTGGCCAAATGAAAAGTGACAGACACCGGCCCCCTCTCTGTGCCTGTTAATTCAGGCCCCCAGTCCTGCAGAGCCTCTGGGAGCCACTAATTGCATCGAGACAAGCAGGAGCTAAGAGAGAGCAGACACATTATGTTATTAACGCTGGACAGAACCCAACACCAGCCATTTGAAAGGGACACTCCTTAAAGGGATAGTTTAGAGCACCCCCCCCCCCCCACACACACACACACACACCACCATATTTTGATGAGTGTTGGTAATAGTTCCGATGACCATTGGCTCTATTGTATGGACAAAACGACACTTCCTCAAATATCTTCTTTTGTATTCCACAAATAGCCTGACTTCGTCATACTCATATTCTTGTCGGAATATGAGTCTGAAACTGCTCTGTAGGGCTTTGATTATGAGGCGTGTCTTAACCGAACCAGGAAAAAACAAACAAACTCTGCACTCAATTGGATAGTCGGTAAACCTACAACCAATCAGAGCAACGCAGTAAGTCAACTACTTTGGATACAGTTGTCAACTACAGAACGTAGCCTAACTTTACTTATTTTAGAAGTTAAATAACGAGTGTTGCTTCTTTTGCTTACTCCTCCATGAATGCGACCAAAGAAGAAACCACAGCGACCACAGGCTTTTCATTACGTCCCATCTTCTTAGCGACCATCAGAGCCAGCTGATAAGTTACACTTTTGCCGAAACCACACTTTTTGTGTGAAATCATATTTATTTTGACCATCAAAAGTGTGCTTTAAATTTAATTGAGTGAGCAGTGCAGCAAAAAGAGACTCTGCGCTGAAACCCGCGCTTCACTGCTGCTCACGCGACACTCCTGCTCAACGCTCACACGCTGCTCCTGCTCCCGGTGTGAATGCACTCATTGATTAACATGCGGAAAAAATATATGTGCTGCTCTGATGCTTGCGGTGTGAAACGGCCATAATTCACAAGGTTTTCTATATATGCGTTCTGTGTGCATGTGTGATGCCGATGTTAATGCGGCGCCCGAGTGCATTTGACCAGCATAAAATCGGTATATGTCAGACTGAGCCAATCATAGCTGATCAATCGGTGCGTCTCTTACAGAATTTTACATTTTGGGTGGACTTTCCCTTTAGGCAGCCTTCCAGACTTGAGAGCAGCCATTCCACATCTCCACTCTGATACAGGGTCAGGGGTCACGCTCTCACAAGTCACTATGCTAAGATGGAAGTGCAAAGGAATTTTAATACCACCTTGGTCCTTTCTTGCTAGCTTTCTGGCACTGAGGAAGGAAACATGTCACGATGATGGATATGAAATATTAATAAGTGTTCCTCTCTCTTCATTACAGGGTCTTAAACAAGAGGAGGCTGTAAAGAGGCCTTGAAGTCTTCATCACACTCGCATACTCTTCCTTAGTCTACTCGCATTCATCGCTAATTAGTCACTTCGTCTTCAAAGTGGCAGAGTACGACACAACCAAGACAGCCATACAGCGTTGTATCCAAGCCAGCATCATGAAAGACACCTCCATGGTCGTCGTGTTTGCCGTTTTTGGAGCTGCCGTCCTCCTCTCACTGCCAGCTGAGGGTAAGACAGTTTGATTATTGTAAAGTGTCTACACTTGATCATTTCTTTCTTCTCAGTGGACCATGCAGATGACAGTAGATGCAGAGTGTCTGTTTTGAATCACAAACCCCTATAGCAAACAAAAATGTGTTTTTTGTTTGGTTTCGTTTGAGTGAGGGAAGATGGCGAAAACTGGAGATGACTAAAAGGGTCATCTGTTTTGTTTCATCTGGATGCACAATAGAAATGCAGCAGCAATTTATAATACAATCCAGCAGGAGAATTGATTTTGCCGTATTTGGATGATACTCAGTGTTTGCAGAAGCCTCACTGCCTGTTTTAATGGATGGTGCCCTTTAAAAACGTAGCAGGATAATGGCATCACTTTTTATTCTCATCAGGCCTGGAAAGCACAGAATCTGTCTCTTCACATTTGCAAGGCATTAGCGAACAAACACTATCTGCCAAGATATTCATCTGAATTACATTATTCAATTTTATTGATTTGATGCCCTTGTGATCTTCTCTCATATGGTTCAGCAGTAATGGAGACTTTGTCTTCATTTCAGGCAAATGCAGACATGAGGGACTGCACACTTCTTTTCTCTCAAATGACTCGCATTATCAGAATGTAATGGCCCCAGTTAGAGACTGTTGTGTGACATTCGTGTAGTCTTTAGGTAGTTCATTCATTCACACAGTGATTGTATTGGAGAATACACATCTTTGGGTATGTGGAAAGGCCACTGGGGTCACATTTGACTGGGAATAGAAACAATGGTTTGGGTAATTGGGTTGAAATTGTGAGTGTTTTTATATGTTAAGGAGGGGGTTGGGGGAACAGGGTGTCAATGGGCAAGATTGTGGATTGTGTGTATTTTAGGTGTATGCTGATTTTCCTCTAGGGTTTTACACTAGTGTGTTAATGAAGGCAGTTGTAAGGTGAATGGAATTAGTGTTAAAGTGTTTGAGCAAAGCACAAAAAAACTAGCTGTGATCTATGGAAATGTTTTCTTTTATTTTGAATTTCTTCAAAATAGGGGTATATGCAAAATTGGTTTAGGTATGGTAAATTAGGTTGATAAATGATAAAATAAGGGGGAAAACAGGTAGAGTTAAAAAGTTTTTTGGCTGCATTTATTTTACAGGAAAATAGTAATATTATGAAATATTACAATAGATAATAGCTGTTTTCTATTTTAGTATATCTTCAAATGTAACTTATGGTTCAAAGCTGAACTTTCAACAGCCATCACTCCTGTCTTCCACCATTTTTTTTTTTTTTTCATATTTTATATTAATGTATCACCTCCCTTTCAAGTTTGTCTCAAATGCTCTGTTAAGTTCCTGTTTTGATGAAGCCCCTCCTTCTGAAACATGAAATGTGCTCTGATTGGTTGGCTGGACTAGTGTGTTGTGATTGGCGAACTGCTTGGAGCGTTTTAAATATTAACATAACAATGGCATTTTCCCATACCAGTTCGAGCCCGATTCAGACCCTGAGAAAGTTTTCAAACAAGATGATCGCACAAAACCTTAGCAAGCACAGCTTTTACTGGACTTTTCAGGGTGGAAAGTTGAAGTTCCTACAATGTTTACTTGTAGTGGTAACTTTGGAAATCTACAAAATATTATAGGCCTAGATGAACTATGATCACTGTAATGTTAATTTTCACAAGAGTCTGCCAGTGACCGGCTGTTGCACCAATAAAATGCAACCTTTTTATTCTGACAGTGTATGATTTACCAGTATATTAAAATTAGGTACATAATAGAAATCGGAACTTTTAACATTAATTTTTTTTGCACAAACTATGCAGGCTTCAATTTAAATTAGTTTATTGCGAAATAGCTCAAACATATAATGTTTTTCTGTCTTCTGTTAAGCATTGTTAATGGCCAATCAATGTTTTTTTTGTGATACTTTTGGGAAACGCAGCCCTGTTTGAATGCATTGTCGGCAGTGTGTGAACGCTCTCTGTGATTGCTTGCTTCTGACTTGCCGTATTTGCGTGTGTTCAGACAAGCAGAAAAATAGTTATATTACCCAGTTATTTACTAAACAGGTTATCCATCCAATTCAATGCGTATCGTACGCATTAAACTTCTTCTTAAATAAACAAAATCACTGGTAAAAAAACCACAAAAAACTGTAGTATCGATATTTTTATTTGAGTATCGATACTTTCGATACTCAACATCAGTATCGATACGCCCATCCCTACGTACATCATAGCAATAACATAAAACTTTTAATTGGATCTGTTAGTAGCAAAACAAGATGCTTATCTATAGCTGAAAGCTTGAAAAGTAAGCCAAAATATTCAATAGATAAAGACTGTGGTGATGTGCAAATGCAAAACTTTGTCTGTGCCGTATACTGTGTATATCCACAAGCCTAGCTATGAGTCAAAGCACACACTTATGTAATATTTTGCTATGTAGTCAACAGGTTTTTTTCAGGCTACAAAACAACACTCAGCAATTTTGCAGTGGACTACCCTTGTTGCTTTAAAAAAAAAGTAGATTTATTGTTTACATTTGACTCTTGAGTATCTCAGAGTTGCCCACTAAATGTCATAAGGTCTTACTATTTATTTCTGTTCAGTTCTTTGAAGTTTATTTTTCCAAGTGCCTTTCTATTTAGGGATTGATATCTTGAGAATGTCTATTCTTGGCAATGTGAAAGCTGTGGGAGAGAGCTTTTTCCTCCTATCAAGAATTAGAATTACGCCTCTACGGAGTCTGTTAAGAAAAAAAAAACAGATTGAAAGAGATTAGGAAGTTTAAAATTACTGTGAAAGCTCACAACCCCACTACCTCCTTTTAGAATTAAGCTTGTAATATTGTATACAAAAGGAAATGACCAAGGCAAATTGAAGTCTCTGGGGTTGGAATGCATTTTAGAAGCTTAATTTGCCTGTTTTTTTTTGGTACAACAGTTTAAAAGTTGTTTTTGTTCACTGCAGTGACACAGTTTTAACCTTACACTTGTTTGGGGTGGTCACTGTCTACTTGTTCGGCTCTTTTTAAATATATTCTTCCTTTTGGTGTTCCCCTCCCTGTAAAGGAACAAAAGAAGAAATGGGTGCTGGCTGCTGGCAGCATTTCTCTCACCCATAAAGTCAAACAGAGCCTTTAAAACAAAACGTAACTACCCTCGGTCATTGCAAAGGTTCCTGCTTAAAAGGGGAGGGAGACTAGAGTGCCAATGAGAACAAGACAGAGTGAGAATTGAACTGTAGATGAATGCTGCTGAGCATGTATTTCCCCCTCTTCTTTGTGAAAGCTGATCTGAGGGCAGGTCAGCGTCTGACACAGAATAATCTCTCCTGACTGAATATGGCGGCATGTTCTTCTGAGAAATGTCATGTCATTCAACACATTTAACACAGGCTTGAGCTAATAAATGAACTATGGAATTTTCTGCCTTCATTGGAGAAGGTGAGGTTGAGCACTTATAGGTGGAGGACAGGAAAACCAGCAGCAGGACGTTATAGTTAGTTATAGAAAATGTAGAAACCCAAGTAGGCTGAAATATAACAATCTAATTGAGGCCCTTTTTTATTTATACGGTAAGTTTTCAGAGATTGTGAGAGTAAAAATGAAGCAAATCCTCAAGTAGGCTGTAATATAACAGTCAAATTGAGGCATTTTTATTTATACGGTAAGTTTTCAGAGATCGTGAGAGTAAAAATGAAGCAAATCGTCAAGTAGGCGGAAATATAACAATCAAATTGAGGCATATTTATTTATACGATAAGTTTTCAGAGATTGTGAGTAAAAATTTAAGCAAATCTCAAATTGTAGTTATGTCTAAATTTACGTGTAGCATTTCATACAATTTTTTTTTTTTTGTTGCAAACTTTTATTAGTTGATGGCCACAACATGCTTGTTAATATTAACTTTGAATAAATCACTTGCTTCATTGTCCCTGTGCCCTTATTTCCCATCCTGCACTGCTCTACCACGCTGGGCCGCCCGCCCGGGCCCTACTACAGGAAGCTTGTTGAGTCTATTGTCGATGCTGTGAGTTTCCCTGACACTTTAACTATTTCCGGTATTGCACTGGCTGACAGGTAGCGAGCTAAATATGCCAAATGCATGCTGCTCTCCAGGAAATAATCATTACTGTCTGACAATGAAGGCCTGTGCTGGTGTGCGTCACTGTGCTTTTCCTTGTTTTTGTAGACCACAGGTTCTGAAGCATTTGAATAGAGGACTACGTTGAGCTTCTGTACGCTGACATGCGTGCACTCTAGTGAGCATATGTTCAGCGGTGCGGCACAGGGGCCTGTTAAAGGCAGTCTGAACTCTCACTTTTACAGCTTGCTGTTGGGTACTTGGCTCTAGAGGTGTCTCCAAGCCCATTAGAGCTTTACTTTCATAAAGGCATCCAACTTTATTGGTCTGTGTCAGACAGGCCGTTGTTTTCCACATGTTCTCTTTTTTTCTTTCCCCTCATTCCATTTTTAACAAGCTGGTGTTCAAATAGTGCTGGATTATTATGTGTTGGGGGATTTGGTCCTGAAATGGGAGCCCATGTGATAATTATAATGATCGTTATTAAAGAGATGAAAGTAAATAAATAATAATGGCAGGTTCAGGTTAACGGCCACTTAAAGCTTAAGTCGCTCCTGCCAGCCCACAACCTATAGCCTGGCCTTTCCTCATTGTTCGGTTACTTTTTGTTGTAAACGTGTACGTGTTTTAATGATTAACCTGCGTAGGGATTAAATAAATAAATGTATCTAATATTTAAGCCTCTCACAGAAGGGAAAACCTCCTACATGTCATCCCTCAAGGGGACATGATTCACATGTTATTTTGATGTATCTAATGGATACCCAGTGATGTATTTTGGAACAAGGACATCTTGGAGGATTTTTGTGTTTTTATTTACCCTCTCCTACGTTTCTGCTGCAGACACTGTGAGACTGTCATGAGGACTAGTGTCTTGATTATAGGCTTGTGAGCCAAACGCCCTCGTAGAGACTTGGCTGGCTCGTTGCATCATTTC